TCTACTCGGAGAGCTCGCGCCGCGTCCTCCTCGGCCGCCTGTGGCGCCGGCTGCACGGCCGCCCTGGCCATGCCTCAGCCTTGATGGCGGCGCTCGCCGGCGTCTTCGTGTGGGACGAGGAGCGGATCCAGGAGGAGGAGTTGCAGAGGTGGGCCCCGCGGCGAGCGCGTCCCCGGGCCGTGGGGTGGGCGGGCGGCCAGGCGGGAGGGTGGGATGCGCGGACCCTGGGACTGCCCTGTGGTCAGTGTCCCCTGTGTACCGGGTGGTCCCGTCAGGGGCCATGCAGTTGATTGGCCCTGGTTGCGGAAACCTCGTTGTTTGTCGCCCCTGTGTTGATTTGACTTGTCAGGTTAGACATGACAACTGGAAGTGTAGGTTAGTGTAGGAGGGAGACTTCGATCGGAAGGGGCGAGCATGACACTGAAGAAACAACATTGTAAGAATAAATTCGATATCGAAGGCATGGAGGCCATTGTTCACGTAATATTTAAAACGCCCAGAAAGGTGCAAAATCAAAACAGGTTTTAGACTTGACCTAAGGGGAGGTGTTGTGCAATTTACAAAGTGACTTCAATCCAGATGAGACTTGGGCCTTGTGAGAAATGCCAGGAGAGCTCTCTGTCATTGTGACTCATGTGGCAGAATTAAGAGGCTGAAAAGGATTTTGTCCTGCTTACACAAACCAGTACTCCAGACATTTTAACCTGTAAGAATTAGGTCAGACTTCTTCTTTAACTAGAACTTTGGGAATACTGTGTCATTAGATTCTGAAGTCATGCTGTCATCATCAGAACAGTGAAAAGTCCAGCACCATTGATTGAGTTTGTTAATCTGTAGTTTTAAATCTGAGACTTTATAGTTTCCAGGTAATCTCATTGGGAAACATTGCTTTAGTTTTTACTTTACATTTTTTTTTTTTTAAAAACATTTCTTTTTTTTTTTTGAGTTGGAGTCTCACTCTGTCACCCAGGCTGGAGTGCAGTGGCATGCTCATGGGCACCGCAGTCTCGACCTGCTGGGTTCAGGTGATCCTTCTGCCTCAGCCTTCCAAGTAGCTGGAACTACAGGCATGCACCACCACGCCCAGCTAATTTTTTTGATGTGTTGTGGAGATGAGGTCTCGCCAAGTTGCCCAGGCTGGTCTCGAACCCGTGATCTCAAGCAGTCCTTGCAACTCGGCCCCCCAAAGTGCTGGGATTATAGGCGCCCAGCCTTTTAACGGCTATTACTAAACCATGCCCTTCCTGCAGTCTGCCCCTAAACTCTAATCTGTGATTTCAGGAACAAGGGACATAGATCCCCTGATAGATCCCTCACCAGTCTGTTTATTCTAAATGCTTCTGTGACAGGGAAACTTATTATTCCATGTTTTTGGTTAGGTTAAAAAAGGAAATATCCTAATACAGTTTATTGTACCATGGCCTGTTTGGAAGGTGTGACACCCAGATGCCAGGAAGCTATTTGTGTCACACTATGAATTGTGGGTAAATGCAAGTCTATCTTAAGGACTGGGAATACTTTTTCCTAGCGGCACACATGGCTTTTATAAATGCAATTTAAAATTATAATCACAAACAATCTTACTCACCAAAAAGTTAAGGTATTGAAGCATGATAGGTATTTTTCTTAGTTCCTATTAGCATCCTTTTGCTCCTTGGCCATTTGCTCTAATAAAATAGTCTTAGGTATGAGAGATTAAAAAAATAGGAAGAAACTGTTTAAATTGAGACATTATCAATTAACTGTTTGAATTTTCATTCTGTTTTTGACAGTGAAATACCCACGTTCCACAGTGGTTAAGTTTGAAGGGAAAATCCCCAATTGGAACTGGTTGGAAAAGAGGAAAAAGACCAGAACAAAGCTATTGGATGCTAGAGAGGGAAGGAATGTTTGGGGGTGGGAATTGAACAGTGTTGGAGCTTAAGTGGAAGATGACACTCTTTGGCTTACTTCATGTATTTTTATGCATAAGTCCTAGAGCCTCTGTTTAGCAGTTCTTCCATTCGCAGCAGCTAGAGGGGAAAACAAGACAGGAAATGAATGTAGTAAACATTTGATTGGTAGGCACTACCCACTGGCAGAGGGATCAAACCAGTTGATGACTGAACCAGTTACTTTGTTTCCCTCTTTTCAGACTGTCTCTGGAACCTGAGGGCAGTTGAAACATTCTCAGTTATAATCCAGTTCATAAAGAGGCATTGCTCTGAGTTAACCAGTTTTGGAATTTCAGGAGTTTAGATGAAGTCCAGTCAGAACACTTTTAAGCTGCTTTTTGACCCTCCCCCCTTGGGGTTGTTATGTTATAGTAAAGATCCTCATTTAATATTTCAATGTTCAGTTCATGCTTGAATTTTTTGTTGTTGTGTTTTAATTTTTTAAAATTACATATGGAGACGGGGGTCTCTCTATGTTTCCTAGGCTGGGCTTGAACTCCTGGCCTCAAGCTGTTCTCCTGCCTTGGTCTTCCAGAATGCTGGGATTACAGATGTGAGCCACTGCAATTTAGTGTTTCATATACTTAAAATTTGATCAGGTTGTCCATCTTGAAGATTTTTTTCTTTTTTAAATGTTTGTTACTGTGATAGATTAAGCAATTATATTGGTTGTACAGTGATTCCTTAGGTCTTTGTTCTGATAGCTTGTTGTGTTTATATTTTGTTTAATTAAATTCTGGGTACAGATTAACTTATTTGCTTGGCATTTAAGAATTATATTTGTATTAAAGTAAGCACTGCTGAGTTTGTCATAGCTAGCTTAAGAACATCTTGGATTTTGTTTGTTCTAGTGAGATGATTTTTGGGTAGCTTCCATAATGGAGCGCAGTTTGAGTGCGTCTGGAGTGCATTTCTTTCATTGTTAATGGAAGAAGAGCATGATTGTCACATGGTCCCTAAATCACAGCCTTTGGCTCATCTGTGCTGTTTGTGTACCAACTTGTCCTGGCACAAATGAATTCTGACACTGCTGTCTTGGTTACACAGGGGTGGAGTGTGGAGGGTATCTTTTTGAATGTGTGCCTTACAGTGGCATGTGTTTTTCTTATGTTATTTGAGTTCCTATTCAGAATGAAAAAGCATAGCCTTGCTTTCTATTTTTTGCTTAAGAACATCTTACCAAATAAGATCTTATTAATCAAGTAACAGTAAGAAAATTTGAGGAGTTACTTGTACAAAGTGATTTTTGACTTGCTGCTGGGGCCAGATGTAGAAATCAGATATTTTAATACTTCCTGTAGTGCCTAGTTGTCTGCAATTGAACAATCAAACAAAAAAACTTTGGATTGCTGTTTTTGGTGCTAGCTGGCATTCTGTGAGCCCGGTACAAGTCTTCTGGAAAAATAGAGTAGTAAGTTTTGATTGTTTTGGAACAGTAAAAAAAAAAAATTACAGGAACAGGAGGAGGAAGAATGTTAAGAAATATGAAAGGCTGGGGAAAATGTTCCATTAACCTCCTCATTTTTAAAAAAGTTATTGTTCGTTGCTCTAGAAATTTGAGTAAATAAGCGCCAGTAAAGTTTCATAAAGAAAACTGACCATTTTCCCATTTCTGTCTTTCAGGGCATTCAGGATACATTAAACTTTTCAGTGTGTTATGAACTAGATAAGTAATGAGCAAAAAGTCCTTTTGCCTTAGAGCAACTTTTTTTTTTGGCTACTGTCACATTAGGGTATCTTACTGATAAACCCTTTGCTAGATCATCAGAACCACATAAAAAGAGACCTCTATTTTTTGAAATTGTCCTTATTATTTTACCATTAACCAGTTACCCCAGAATTGCAATGAAGTAATGGATGTCTCTTATTTCTAGGCATGTGCCATATCAGTAGTATTTGGAAGTCCCTAACTTTGACAATAATTTGGAGTTAGAGGAGAGAATTATGTGAAGTGGGACAACTGTCTTACTGAAATTCCTGATTGTAGAAATGACTTCATTTGAATCATTTTGGAACTTTATATATCAAGCTGAGGGCAAAACTCCTAGATACACACACACACACACACACACACACACACACACACACACACACACACACACACACACACATCTGCTGAGGGCAGAACCTCTAGGTTAGCTGGACATTGTTATACTTACTCTGTTTTCATGGTTGTGTGCCTTCAGTTTCCATAGCTTTCAGTCCAGCCTTTCTCCAATATTGAAATGATTTTTGTTTCAGAGGAAGGGAAGCAATAACTAACTTTCCTTGATCCTTTTTCTAATCTGCTGGTTTTGTTACTATTTGGGGAATAATCTCCTTTGTCCTTCTTTTCTCTCTTCTTATGACTTGTTTAAGTCTCTTAGATGTGAAGATTTACCCATCCTTTCCAAACAGGATTTGGCACAGCAGGCTAAAGAGATGTATAGTGAGAGATTTTTTTCCTTCTCTGCATATGATAGTGAGTGAGTTTGTGCTCCCGTATGCTAGTTTGAGATCATTCAGGGATTCTTAAACCCTGGGACAGATTAACTTGATTATTTATATTTTTCTGGTGCAATTTTTCTCCAGTATGCATGCCATGTTATTCAAAGAATGAATGTCAGTCATGCCTTCACAAGGTTTTTCCATCTCTCTTCAGGGATTTTGTTTCATAATTGTAATCAAAGCCACCTTTAATTGTATAGGAGAGCCTGATTAAACAGTGGGTCAGAAACTCTGAACTGCCTTAAGTCTTAGACGGCCATTAAGAAGTATCGCCTAGGCCGGGCTCGGTGGCTCAGCCTGTAATCCCAGCACTTTGGGAGGCCAAGGCGAGTGGATTGCCTAAGCCCGCGGGTTCGAGACCCGCCTGGACAACTGGGCGAGACCTCGTCTCTACAATTAAAAAAAAAAAAAAAAAAAAAACTAGCCGGGCGTGGTAGTGCGCGCTTGTAGTTCCAGTTACCTGGAAGGCTGAGGCGGAAGGATTACTGGAGCCCAGCAGGTCGAGGCTGCGGTGGCTGGGAGCGTGCCACTGTACTCCAGTCTGGGCGACAGAGTGAAACTCCAACTCAAAGGAAAAAAAGAAAAAGAAGTATCGCCTAATTTTCTGAAAACCTTATTGGCTATGTGATTCTTTTTTTGAGTCAGAGTCTTACTCTGTCACCCAGGCTGGAGTGTAGTGGCATGCTCATAGCCGCCCCAGCGTCGACCTGCTGGTCTCAGGCGATCC